TCTTCATTGAGAAACTTTTCATTTGTTCGGCTTTCAGGTTGGGATCGATTTGAAAGGGTCCATGGAAAAGGGTGTGGCTGGAATCATGGAATCAGCCTGCACTCATGTGTTTGCATCAAAGGTACTCGCGCTTAGAGATGATCAGTATGTACATATATATATATATATCATTATATGTTGTGCATGTATATGTAATGCAATGTAGTTTGATACAGTATAATTTAATATAGTATGATAGTATCATATACTATAATACAACACAAAATATAGGTATGTAATATGTGTATTCTGCTCACGTGTGGTACCCCCCGTCACGCACCTTGCAGTGACTGTGCGCATGTTTTCATCCAATGGCCTTATGACATTGGCTCCTGACGGACCGACCAAACTCCACCCAAATCCTATACCGAAGTCAGAACGTAAAGGCCAATCGCCTACACGTGCAAGTGTTGTGGGATATGTCACGATCTCTTTCGATTGAAAGGCTTTGTAAGGTCCATGTTGAATCAAGATGAAACTCTGTTCAAAGACACCCGAGTTGTTTAAAACACGTGCAACTCCATCAAAGGCGCGCACTTGCAATAGTACTCCAACCTCCACATTCCGACTAGAATCGCAAGACACCACCAGAATGTAAACAACTGACAGCATTATCAGAATACCGATTTTAAGAAATCCCCAACCAGCTTCTGATAGGTATGGCTCCTACGGGAAGCGAGCCTCCATATGTTCGCTTCAGAAGACGCCACAAGACTGGAGTATTAAACATGACCTCTATACTGCTATATAGCCTTCCGAAGAACTGGACACTACTTCGGGGGGATGGTCTTCATTTTTGTCCAGCCCCGCAACACAGGCCCCGTTTTTTTCTCCCCCGAGCGCGCCCAGATCGGAAAGCTGCGGTTCACCTTTGGCTACGGGGCCGGGGACTCGGACAAGCGCATCCCTGGGCTCATTTGGAGCGATTTCCTCTGTCTGCTCCAAATGCGGGGATTTCTGATCATCGCCCTGGTGCAGCACTTCTGCTTCTGAGCGGCTTGCGGCTGAGATATTTTTGCTCCAGATGGGACTGAAGGGAGAAAGAACAAGACATGCCCAGCAAGTGGCAAAAAAGAGGCAGAAATTCCCAGATGGCGATTGACCTTCATTTGCAGAGTACAATCATCACACCCAAGATGTTGCAGTCCTCCCGAAAATTTCAACTGGCCGCACAGACGTGATGCCTGAGAACTCGGGTGCTCCGATTCTCAGAGCCGGGGGGCTGCTTATCTTGCTCGAAGGGAATCGTCTCAGGGCTTTGGGGGATTGAGCCAGGGGGGATCCCCTGAACGGAAGCAAGGGATGGTTGGGGGTTCCAACTGATTCCCTATCGAACCGGCAACTTAGACGCGAGGCGTGTCTTGCGGAAGAATGAGGGAACGATGGAAGTGGCGAGCTGCAAGGCGTCTCCTGGAAAAGCCAAAGATGAGTTACTTGCAGAAATGAGTTGCTGGAAAAGGCCTGCGCCAACATACCGATGGACAAACATCACACAAACTTGCAGGTGGATCAACTCGTCCTGGTGCGAGGTGGATTTGTTCCATCCACAGTGCGATGGCGTGATGTCCCGAGATGTCTTGGGATGGTGTCCTACACCAATTCTTGGCAGCTCCGAGCCATCCGGTTCCTTAGCTGCTTAGCGTTTTCGCTTCTTAGTGTTTAGTGGTTGGATTTCCATTTAACCCCACTAAGAGTTAAAGTGTTTGCGGGGGATCTGAGGACAGCCCTGCTACGGCCATATCTTTGAGAAATTGGAATCATCTTACGGCAGGTCTTCTTTGCATTCGGTGGAGCTCAATGATATCGAGTTGATTAGCTGACCCACATGCTCCCAAGTTTGCTATTTCTCACCGACCATAAACACATTGACATGTTGGCAGCGCGCCGTGTACATTTGCAAGAAGTGACCTGGAAGCCAAACACATGACAGAATCGACATCTGTGTCGGTGTGTGTTTGTGCGAGGATGCGCCGTTTTCATGGTTGTTGTTGGGAAACATTTTACATGTTTGCTTATTGTGGTTTAGTGGAAAATCCCCACTTAACTGCTAAAGTTTAATTGTGTGGTCCCCTTCCAACGTCAACCAAGTTTAAGCTTGGTTGGAAGGGAACATGTTCAGGGTCCCCAACCCCGCCAGCAGCTCGCCGAAGAGAGACCCTGTTCCAATTCCCGCTGCGTTGTGGCGGCCGACAGTGGATTGAGTCGCAAAAGAGGGGCTTGCGCGCGCGAAATCGCAGCTTGGGGCTGACGATTTCTCACTTGACCAAGGCGAATCGAGTTTCCCTTTGGTCCTCTAGTCGAGGTTTTGAAAGGTGATCATTCTTTTACTTTCGGGTCCGAACTGGGAAGCTGAGTCATGGCTGATTACCCTCCCTCCCACTAACATAGCAACTGAGAGGGGGTCCCTTCAAAAAGAAATCAATCTTCCAGGTACCCTCCCAACAGGTGCCATGTTGGCTGGAGGAAGGGTAACATGGAAAGAACGAGATCCACGTTGTTCCTGGAATCTCCGGCTTTTGAGGCACCTCTCTTTTGGGTTCCATCGAATACGTGGAGTGGAACCCAGAAGGTCCCTATAGTCTCCAGCGTCCTTTCCTCAGGTTCCATGGTGGATGATTCGATGAGAGGTCCCCTGCCCGTTGACCAACTTTTTTTGGGGAGGGTTCCCCTACTAAAATAAACGACAGAAAAAAGTTGGTACCCTTGCTCCAACCTCTCTAATGGAGGACCTAGCTGATGATAGGTCCATTAAAGTGAACAGTTTGAGGCTTCTCAAACAACCCTTTTAGGGTTGTGTCCCTTCAAACTGCACTTTGTACCTCCATTTTCGGTGTGAGTTTGAGGATGTCCCACCAAATTTGACCCAGGAGCGTTCTGCCCGGATACAGGGCCAAGAATACAGGATCTTATCAGAGTCCAGTCGCGGAAGTCGGAAGCTCTAGAGATGGAATGGAACTCAAAATACGGGAGCCGTTTTTTTGTTTATATAGTGCTTTCCCTTTCGACCAACTTAAAGAGAACAGTAGGAAGGGATCGCTTACCTCGTCTGGTTTTCGGCGCCGTAGGATTCATTCTTTGCGCCGCCAAAGTACCCAACTTTGGGTTGGTATGGTCATGGATCCCTTGACTCCACTCTGACAAGGGATGCGTTGTTTCGAGGGAACCTTGATCCAAACCACCAACTGACTCGGGAGCACAGATTGGCCCACCTCTTCCTTGCAAGCGAGCCAGTCGAATGGTTGCAAAAGACGTGTCCAACTGACGCGGGGCTTTGGCCTTGTTTGGCCTTATTGACATTTGTTTGGCCTGTTGTGTTTGGGCCTTTTGTGTGTGGCCTTTTTCGCTTGGCCTTTTTTGGCCTGATTTGGGCTTATTTGGCCTTAATTCGCCCTGTCGGGGGATCCTTAGGTTGCAAAAACGTGTTTTCGTTGGGTTTGCCAGGACCGCGGAACGGAGAATTTGCCTGCTTCTCGCATCCCTGACCGAAGAAACGGAGGAAGCAAAACCTAAACACGTAACATGTACATATATATGTATACACATAATACGTATACCAAGGAATGTTTGTGTTCAAGAGTCAAGCCAAGAAAACCCAAACCAGTCGTGGAGCGTCAGGAAAGTTCAATCCAGCGTCCCTCTGGCGAGGTTCCATTTCTCGGTTTCAGGACACAGCCCAGGGATTGTTGATGCGCCCCACTCATTCTTTTTGGGGACACACACACACACACCCGGGATCCAGTTTTGCCAGCCCCGGTTAGGGCTCACCCCCGGTTGGTTGGTTGGTTGGTTGGTTGGTTGGTTGGTTGGTTGGTTGGTTGGTTGGTTGGTTGGTTGGTTGGTTGGTTGGTTGGTTGGTTGGTGGGTGTGAAGCCGAGCTGCCTAGCTTTTCCCGAAGAGCTCAGGGAAGAGCATCCAAGGCCAATGAGCTGGGCAAGCCAAGTCGCAAAGGTCCACTCATGTTTTTGTTTTCATCATAACAACAATGGGTAGACTGGATATGTGACACGCCAGTTGGCCATGTTGTTTTTCGTGTACCCCTTGTTTTGCGGGCCAAGGAAGGTTTCTCCGGGAGTTCACTTCTGATTTGAGGTTGGTGACGAATTCAGAATGAGAAGAATCGAGCCCATGTTTAGTCTCGGGTGGTTGACATAGTTCTAGGGGTACCTTCCCCATTCTTTCCAGGGATCCTTCTTTCTAGAAAACCACCAAAACCCCTAGTTAGGTAAATGGCTGGTTTAAAGAACGATGGCTGAAAAGAATGGGGAATCAACCCCTAGAATGGTTAAGTCTTTGCCATGCCCTCAGACCAGCCCCTTTTGAGGTACTAAGATTTCAATGATGACATTTTTGGTGACCTGGTGGATGTCTTATCATGGTTTGAATTTCGGGCTTGTCACCCCTTTGATCGTGGACCACCCAAACCCACCATCGGTGGTACATGGGCGTTAAGCCGAGTTACTAGTAGCAAGTCGTGGTTAATAAACCACATTGTAGCCTACTTGCCTGGCCAACTCCAACTGAGGCACTTACAGGAGGTTACCTAACTTACACGATAACTTACACCCCACTTGGGTGGTGGATTTGCCAAAAAGGCAAGCGGCTAGTAACCTAGGTGACCGACTTGTGAGTGAGTTGGGCTAGTAACCTAGTTTACTATGCACTTACCAACTTGGTGAATCGAGCACCCGTTGGTGAGTTCCCAAGATTGGGAACTCTGCGGGTGCGCGTTTTCTCTTTCTTTGGAAGGGGAACAACAACATACACAAAGTGAGGACCCCCTTTCTTTGGACGAGCACCCCTTGCTAAGTTCCCAAGACAAACTCGGAATCAGACCGGCGCCTTTGTTCGCAGAATGAAAGGGAACAACAACAAACCCACCATTTTGAGGACCCAAGTTGATGAGCACGCCTTAAGCTCCCAAAGCGAATGATCCGGAATCCGGCGACTTGCCGGAATCCGAGGACATGGACCCTTCCGCCACCTTCCCCTTCGAAGATGGGGAGATCACCTACCTGGCGCCGCGAAACAAAAAGAAGAAGAAGCCACAATCAAAACCTGGGTAGATGAAGGTTGGTAATACAATCATCCCCTTGCCATAAAAGGCTGCGGATGTCCGGCTTCTTAATTCTTGAAGCATGGTTCTGCGTAGACCATTTTAGTACCGGGTTTTGATTGTGACTCAAATCAGGTTGGCCGAGCGGTTTGACGTAACAAATCCCAGCAAAGGAAATGGCATGAATACGTAGTAATTGAAAAAACCGGCGGTAGGGGTTTGGCGAGTTTCTAGATTTCATATATGTATACTGAAACATAACAAACACATGCCTGTATTAAAAAATAAAATAAATAAAAAATGTGCCATGTTCTCGCACCCTGGTGCCAATTGAGGACAGCCTCCTTTGCACATCTTGGGCTCAGTTCGGATGCCACAGTTCCCTTTGTGTAGGAAAGTAGAGGGGATGACGAAACCAACATGCGAAGTGGGTTTGTGTCTATACAAACTGACAAACTGTAGTTGGATAAGTCTGGTCAATGGAATTTACTCATGCACCTTCTTTGGACCCAGCCCATCCTTTGCAGATGTGGCCTTCCTTGCTGCTATGAGCAGCCCACAGTCAAGCTTGAATGTAAAAGCGATTTGGATGTGTTGGATCATATTTAGATGATTTAGATTTGAGGGCCATTTGCAAATGCACGTGCTTAGGGATCATTTTCAGCTCCTTTGTTTTTCCCCCCCCCCCCCCGTTTTTATGTTCAATCGGGCGGGAGTGTACGGATATTGGGAAGATCAAGATGGTGAAATCACAAGTTGGTGCGTCCAAACCTTTCTTGAACTGAGCAGCACTGGTCATGCAAAAACAGATTGACACAGAACCCCCAAGACCATCTCTTTCAGAGCAAGCTCCTTTTGTAGAACCCCTTTTTCAGGTTGCGATGTTAGTTTGCAGAGAGGGATTCCCTCGGAAGAACCCCGGCCAAACACAAAGCCTTCCAGGAAAGAAAATGTGTGTGTGTGTCCTTTTTTGAGGGTACCTTGTTTATGTGTTTTAAATGGGAAACCAACAGGAAAACCCACATTTGGAGGGTACCCAAGAAGTGTTCACACCCAAATAGATACCCCCAGTTACATGTCGAATAATCTCACTGGGAACACCCAGGATGAAATCTTTTCGCCCTCCCCTCCCAGAAGGTGAAACCTCAGACGAAGCGAGTAGGTGAGAAGGTAGTAGTTGGTGGCATTTTGTGAATCCCATGTTTCTAGGGGTAGTACCCTTCCATTTCCATTCTTTCCAGGGATCCGGATCTTTCTAGAAAACCTCCGGAATCCCCAGAGGAAAACGTCTCCGTTTTTTTTTTCTGAAAAGAATGGTTGGAATCAACCGGAATGTTGACGGGAGAACCGAGAGACACCCTAGTTCCAACTTCTGAGGCTCGATTCATTTTGACTCGGATCAAAGTGGCGTCGTTGTCAAAAAGGGCGAGCTTCAAAAAGCGCAGAGGGGGAGAGAGGGTGATGTTTAACGGTCCTGTACATGGACTGACCATTAGGGAACTCACCAAAAAGACGACTTTCTCCACATGGGAAAATTACGGAAGGGCCCCTCATAAACCCACCCCTCATGAGGGGACGCTCTCAAAAGCTGGAGATCAAAAGTTACCCCATGGTCATCGTAGGGCCAGTAGTGATCAACCCCCGAGGCAAGCATGGGGCCCTAGGAAACCAGATTCCTTTTTTAGGGATAACGGGGGCACAAGGAAACTTGCTGGTGCTCACTAAGGAATGAGAAATGGAATGAACCTGGGGATTCCCTTAAAGGACACCATAGATCGATTTACCTGTATGGCAACCAAGGGCTCACCACTTTGAACACCAACAGGAAAATGGCTGGTTGCCTAACTGGGATCCACCCGGATTAGAAAAACATGGGTCCAAATCACTCCGCAAGTCGCTTAGAACCACGGCCTGAAGGTCCGAAGGGGATGATCAGCCCACATACCCCAGATTTAACCATGGTTAGAACCCTACGTAATGTTGGCCCCAATCAACCACAGTTTGATAATTTTTAAATCAATCTCCCGTTGTCCCCGGGTTGAGTGGGGAATCAGACCACTTTTGGAGGGGCCACACACCACCCCCTATCCATAAACAGGTTGGTGGATGAATCATGGGATTACCTGACGCTGGTTGTTCGCATCCAAGCAAGGTTTTCCGTGTCCCACCATGTTGCCCAAGCGAGCCGGATTTCCGTGACTCACCTCCAATGTCCAACCACAAGCCTGGTTTCCACCTCCATTTTACCTTTTGGGTCCATTCCATGCTTCACCTCCAATATCCAGCCACCTTTACGTTTTCCCGCAATTTTTCCTTTTGGATGGCTCCAACAACCGGGGCCTTGGGGCCAAAACGGGGTCCACCCCGAGCCCTCGGAGCACCGGTCCACCCGACCAAAAAGCGCCCGGAAAACTTCCGACGCTCAGCAGCGAGGAGTACTTCCGGCGACGGCACGGCATCGTGCTGGAGAAGCGCCAGCCGATGCTCTACTGCCCCTTCCGCGCCAAGCAGGAGGCGAGAGACATTTTTGTTTTTTTTGGGGGAAAAGCCAGGGGATTGTTGTAGGTTTTTAGCGGGAAACCATTGCAAATTGGGTAGGTGTTTCGCCCTTGGGTAGGTTTTTAGAGGGAAACCAATGCAAATTGGACCCTCCAAAATAGGAATGCTTCAGACCATTCTCAAAGTGGGTGTATCTTTGTTTTGAGGGTATTCACCCCGTTTTTGTGGTTGGGTTTTAGTTTGACAACCCCCAAGTGTGTAGATGGCATTTGTCGTTCTTGTCGTTGCCTTCGTTTGCGAAAGGGTCATACACCCCCTCACTGGCACTGTTACATGCCAACTTCAGACGGGTATTTCGTGTGTCTCCGACTCTACTTGATTGCAACAAGTTTTGCATGAAGCAAGCTGAGGAACAACAAGAGCACCATAGCTAGGAGGCTCATGTAGGGGTCTCTCAACCTCGAACGTTGCGCGCTCAATCCGCTGTAAAGGCCATCAGGCGGTCATACCCAAGCACCAAGCCTTTTCGCTTATAGGTATGATCATTTCGCATGGCCATTTGTGCTCCAGAAGAGGTTCTGGTCAAGGTAGCTTTTGAGAGGCTTCAGTCTTTCATGAGGTGACCAGAGGCGGAAGCGCTGGAACACCAAGCCACCAAGCCACGCATCCAAGCCATTACCTGAAAGCGCTTCGATCGAAGCACCAAACGGGACGCGATTTCAAGATGCTGTGACAGCCATGGCTGAACTGCCCATCCCATTGCTCTTGGCCTTGCTACTCGGTATGCACGTATGCACTTCTGATGTGGGGTGGCAAACATAGGCGCATGGATTGCCTGCTTGAAGGTCGTTCACTTTTGTAGCGGGTGTCCCTATATATAGTCAAATGCATGGTGCTCTCATTCGGATTCACTGATCCAGGTCTCATGGGCTGTTGTTTGGGGCTGGGTTTGCGCCTGGATCAGGAGTGCAGCGTTCAGTATGCTGGCGATTCCCAACCAATAGGCTCATCAAGGTTTGGAGTTTAGGGATAGTTTCTGACATACCGCGTTGAAGCCATGGTTGTTTGTTTGTGTAGGTAGGGCAATCATCAGAAGCCGGGATTTCTGAGGTGGTGCGAAATTGAGTTCATTTGTTTGTGACATATCCCACATTTAACTTTTCGACAAGGGAGCCTGAAAATTATAGTCAAACCCATCAAAACCAGAGAACATGGTAAAAAGTTAAGATTAAGGGACAGTCCCAGCCTCTTGGATGCTCCACCAAAGTCAGGTAAGTAGCTTTAACCAGCAACTGGGGTGATCGTCCCGTAGCCACGGTTATAGCCTTCTTACCCGACGTTGGTTGAGCATCCAAGCATAAACAGGTGTGGATATCTCCCTTTTGATTCTTTACATGGCGTTGGGAAGATCACCTAGTACCAGGTGTTTATTGTGGCTCAGATCGCCAGATCGCGAGTCAGCAAAGAAATCCTCGCTCTGCAGCCTGGCTGCCCCGTCCTGCAAGGCCTCTTCAGGGATCCTTTTGGGTTTGTCTTACCTTAAGGGATCGCAAAGCATGGGTGGCCTAGTTATCCTTTGGTTACCCGAAAAATGGTTACCCAGACAAAAACAGCGACACCCACATCACCAAGAATACGGCCAAACACCCCCCCCCCAAAAAAAAAAAGTGGTTTCGGCGATCAGTCAAGAGATACTTTCTTTTGGATTGGCGTTCCCTAGTGCGTTATAGGCCGAGGGAATCCCACTGAATGGAGATGTGTTAACGGAGGATATAAACCACTTGCTAGTTGGATGGTGGCCAAGCTAGTAAGTGGTTAGCAACCCAGGCTATAACCGCTAACCTAATTACTTCTGAGTGCGTTGGGCCGCTTGTAAGCAGGTTATGGCCTAGGTTACCAATCGCTTAATAACTTGGCCGACCACCCAAGTAAGTGGGGTGGTCATCCAAGCTGGAGCATGGTCGGACAATCGAGGATGTTCCTGTTGGTATGACCTGCGGTGGATGCCCTTCGTACAAAAGCTTGCCACATCAATCCCGGGCTGTCTAATGGAGGGGTGGAAAGCTGAAGCCAGGAGCCTCTGGGTAGGGTGACTTAGTTGCCCAAAGCCGAGCTTTTGACCTTTTGGTTTCTCCTTTTTGGTCTAGTTTTAGTCATGGACCCGAAAGGTTAGCCTTTTATTTCTGGGTCCTTTGGGCAAGTGAGAGGGTGATTTTTGGGTGGACGCACGCGCCGGCTCAGGCGCTTCCCCCCCCCTGCTTGTGATCCAACAGGTTCTCACTGAGCATGGGGAGGAAGCCCGGCTTTGGCTTTGACTAGGTCCCCCAGTAGTGCCCGTCTCTCCCCTTTTTTGGGGGGAATGATTCCCCTAGTAAAATAGACTACAGAAAAAAGGGTACTCTTATTCTAACCTCTCTGGAGGACCTAGTTGATATGTCGAAGTTCGAATTGGATTGGTTCTTTTCTTACTTCCCTGGCTCATGTCGTTCCGCTTTTTTTGGGTAGCAAGCCAAAGGTTGAAGACACACCCACCCGCAACCAGCAAACCACACAGGTGTGTGTCAAACTAGGGGATCCCCTAAATGGTAGCTTTTCCTATGTTGTTCCCTTTCAAACCACGTACCAAGCCTCAAAAGAACGCTCACCCACATCCTACTTTGTGGGGTTGACGCATTTCGAGACACATCCAGCACCACTTTCGGCTCAGGAATGGCGGTGAGAGCTCCATCGCTGTGCTCACCGTCCCAGGCCGAGGTATCGTTGGCACTGCCGTCACCCCCAATGGGGCTGAGGAGCGGCGGCATCGAGGGATCAAGGGGCACGAGCGCATGTTTATTCTTTTGTTTTTCCTTTTTCTCTTTTTTTTTTTTTTTTTTTTCGGGGGCCCGTTTCGGGGCGGGTTAAATGGACACCACAAGGAACACCAGACATGTTGAAGGGCCCGTCTCATTTCTTTAGGGTACCTTTTTTCTTCCATTTGCAGACATGAATATGTGTTGTGTTTTTTCCCCCTGGTTTTGAAGGGAGTTGATTTCGCTACCAAATATATATATATATATATATATATATGTATATAGATATGTGTGTGTTTATTTTGTCCAGGGGGCTTAAGCAAATTGAGGCTTTGGGGTGAGATTGAAAGGACACCAGAAGGAAACCGCCAATTTTGAGTATTCTGAGACACAATTACTCATGAGAACCGGATGTCGCCACTGAGCTCAGCACAACCAAGCCACAAGGGTAGAACCTTGGTCAATGTGTTCCTAACTTGCTTTCAAGTTTTCACGCAGGAACCCCTCCTCCCAAAACAAGAGCCCAGCCACATTTGGGCAGGAAATCGTTCGGTGCGCCACCAACTTCGACCCCGATGGATCGGTCCTATGGATCCTCGCCCACTCAGACTCAGAGGTGCCCATATACCCAGGATTTGTCATTTGCTCATGTCATCCTCTATTTGGGTGTGCTTTTTTGCTGTTTTTTTTGCGGAAAAGGCGAGCCAAAAGGACATCCACATTGTTTTTCTTTCGTTTTTGTTTTTTTTTGGGGGGGTCCCTACAAAAAGACCCATTTCAACCCTTTCTGCCTGTGGGTCGTGTCCGAAGTTTGACGTTGGTCCAAGAAAACAGGACCCCCAATGGCCCAAGCTTCCCTATGGTGACAGGAGGTCGTAGTTGTAAGGCCCATAATCATACCTAGGATTCCACCCCCCGTAAATTGTCTGAATTCCTACAAGGACGCCCCAAACAAAATGACCCGCAAGGTCTTAAAGGAAATCCGATCCTGTGAGACAAGTCACGCTTTGAAGCCATGTGGGCCTGTCCCTTTGTGAACATCATAGTTCTAGCGGTTGATTCCAACCATTCTTTTCAGCCATCGTTCCTTTCAATAACCGATCGCCATTTCCCCAGGGGTTTTGGTAATTTTCTAGAAAGAAGGATCCCTGAAAACAATGGTGGTAAGCTACCCCTAGAATAGTGGGGATTCAGGTAACCACCAGCCACTTGTGTTCGGTGGCTCCTTATTCGGAGCTGAAGCGATTCGCAGCCTGGACGTCATGTCGACAAGGCGGCCTGACATGTTCCCGTTATCCTGTATCTCGGACTTGAGTCAATTTTGGGGAGGACGTTTCAGTAGCTCACAAAAAGTCTGCACTTTGGTTGGCCAACTTGCTCAAGGAAGGGAAGCTTTAATCACTGTTTGGGTTTGGACCATTTTAGTGGCAAACGAAAAGTTTGGGTTTTGTTTGGCAGAAGGCGTGTCAAACGTGCCCTCTGCTTTCCTTTCCCAGGGCTGACAGGGTCTTGCGAACACCCGTACGCCCTAGGCAGCCCTGCTGTGAGCACAAATGGAGAGTTAGTGAAAAGTAAGTTGCAAGTTGACTTATTGACAGTCAAGTGAGCAAGGGGGTTAATTGAGAGCCATGATTAAGTTTGGATTGACCTACAGGAGAGTACAGTTGATTTTGGCCATGAGTGTTATCTACAGGGATTTGGGCAAATGGTCCTATACGTGAAATGACCATTGGACAACCACTCAAAAGGTTTGATATTTCAACCACATGGTTGCAAAGCTAGCCATGGTCAACACTGGGCGTCCTCCACATCATTGATATCAACCCCCACATCATCCCCCACATCATTGAAGTGCGAAACTGGGCGTCCTAAATGGAATATTGATATCAACCCGTGCGGATTCGGGAGTCCACCCTCGCTTTTCGGGCAATGCTTATTCCGAAGCCATGTCGCACAGGACGCCTTCCCTTTTCCCTTCCCCGTGTCGCTCTTGGGCGGACAGGTGTCTAGGCCCGGGAACTTCTCGCTGTCACGTTTGCTGCCCTGAAAGATAGCATGCACTTTTGATGGTTAGGGTTTTGGGGATTGGTGGTTCGGGTTTTGGGGTTTGGTGGTTAGGGTTTTGGGGTTTGGTGGTTAAGGTTTTGGGGTTTGGTGGTTTGGGTTTTGGGGTTTAGTGGTCGGACGGGTTTCCAAATTTAGCCACTGAAAGTTAAAACTGTT